GAGCTCCGCAATCTCCCAATCTTGCATGTTCCTCCTGAATGAGAGGTCCCATACTACCCCCTTTCATGCTCCTTGCGGATCTGTTGGAACATCAGTTCCTTCTGGTTTGAAACTCTGAAGACGTGGGGGAAGGAGACCCTCAGAGTATCCTCTCTGCACCACCTATGATTCCAAAAGCTGATTCTCCTTCCATCTCCCACCCTGTAAGTGATGTTGCCACTGAATGCTTCCCAATTCTTCATGATGCTCCTCCACATGCTACACCCGAAAGGTGTTGTGATCGCCTTGGTCCTCCAACCCCCTCCCGTTGAATCGTACTTTTCTACTATGACCTCCCTCCATAGAGCATGCTCTTCTAACCCGAATCTCCACAGCCACTTTCCCATTAAAGCTCTGTTAAATACCCTATGATCTAGTTCTTTACCTTTACATTTTTTGTAAGGTAATAAGATTTCATTAATGAAGGGCATAAATACCCATATACGAGAAGTATACCAAAAAAATAGAGAAACCTCACAATATAATATGGTTCTCTACGAAAGACACCCAAATCATCTATGCTTAAGGGAGTCTCATGGGTGCACCGAAACATAATAAGAGAAATAAAGACTACTCCTCAAATGTACAAAGTCCTCTATTCCATCAAAAGCTCCCCTATTTCTCTTTCTCCAAATAGTCCACACGAGTGCAAGTGGAGCGACATCCCAAGCCCTATGTCTTCTTCTCCTCCTTCTGAAAGTCCAGCTGAACATTACTTCTTTAACCGTGCCTGGCATTACCCACTGATTTGTAGTCTTTATTTTGATTAGTCCAAGAATCAATTTCACTTTAAAGACAACTTGTCTTTGAGTCCTTAAATTATTCGTTCTGTTAAATTCAATTATCGTCAAGATATCTTGGTAAATGACATCACTTCAAATTTTTGCACAAAAAAATTCACAGTAAGCAGTCGCTGAATATGTGCTTGGCAGTATATGTCGCATTTAAAAATCGACAACCGAAGCGATGAATAATCGACTTAATTTGTTTGGTTTGGTTCCCAATATTTTAAAAACGGAGTTAATTGGTTTGGTTTCTTTTTGGAGCTAAACCAGCTCAAATCAAGCCGTGAACACCCTTACCAGCATGCATCTGGTGGACTATGTGGAAGGAAAGGAATGCTAAACGTTTGGAAGACAAAGCTAATTCTATCCAACAGATTAAAGTTTAACTGTACACTGTTTCTTTTTGTAAAGAGGAACTTTTAAATGCAGTAAAATCAATACTTAGCCTCTTAGGATCCCTGCAAGATTAGAAAAGGATTCTTTCTTTGGTTTTTGCTCACTTGTATATTTCAGCACTTTCTTTAGTGATGCAGCTATAATCTCATTCCAATTTTATTGGATGTTGCCGAAGGGACTGATATAACGTATTTACTATTTCTGAAAAGAGTAGCTTAAGCATGTAAGTGAGACAGTTCACACAATACATTATGGTATTAGAATAGGAAATTGTCCTGCATTTGAGTGTCATCACTACCTATCATAAAATACTTCCACGTGCTTGGCCCAATAAAAAGAATTAGGCCTGCATGTGAGGGGGCATTGTGCAGAGCTAAAGTAACTAAATGTGTCTCATCTATAAAAAGAAACTTCATGTTTTCAAAATAGGCAGTTCAGACTCTGAATTTTCCCAAATATGTTGCTTGACTTATTCCCTATTTCTTTACTGGCACAATATAGTTGTGACTTCATGGTGACTGGAGTGTATATCTTCTGTCTTTGGTAAGATGAATAATAGTCTTATTTATACTTTTCGTACAGAAGCTGTGAATCTCATCCTTTTTCCTTCATTTGACATGGGTTTTCCTTCGCACTTGCAATCAAAATTTACCAACAAGATGTAGTTTGTTTCCACTTATCATTTCTCGATCTTTAATACTTTTTCAATTTCAGGGTGTCTGCATTGGTCTAAGTGAAGTAATGGCCAGTGCTGGTAGGAGTCAATTGTTGAGTTTTATGGATGAGCTCATCCCCACAATTCGGACAGCACTTTGTGATAGGTGTGATATCTTTTGCTTATATTACTATGAAAATGACAGTTTTTTGCATTTCCATTCTGAGGTAATTCTTTGGTGTTCCTTATTCAACAGCATGCTCGAGGTTCGTGAATCAGCAGGCCTGGCATTTAGTACTCTTTACAAGGTAAATCCTACAGATCTTGCCAATATTTGAGAAATTTCATATTTATCGAGAAACTTCTCAGCACTAAACTTTGCACTTGGTGGTTCGTAATGTAGAATGCTGGAATGCAAGCAATCGATGAGATTGTTCCAACACTTCTTCATGCTCTGGAGAATGAGGAGACCTCAGATACTGCTTTGGATGGCTTAAAACAAATTCTGAGGTAGTCTATTGTTTGTCTAGATAAGTCATGTTTCTATGTATTATCTTATCCTTATGTCCTAAATTTTGTTGCCACTTATTTCAGTGTCAGGACCACAGCGGTGCTGCCACACATCCTCCCAAAGCTCGTTCATCTTCCACTTTCGTACGTATATATGCTTTCTGCTCCCTATATCTTTTCTGTACCTTGTGGTTCTGCAGTACTCACCAAATATCTGCGCACACCTACAGTGCCTTCAATGCGCATGCTTTGGGAGCTTTAGCGGAAGTTGCAGGACCTGGTCTTGATTCCCACCTTAGTGCTATCCTTCCTGCTTTACTGAATGCAATGGGTTATACTGACACAGTATGCCTCCTCACAGACATGTGCATATGTTTATGTAGTTTTCACATTCACTTTTTAATTTTTCTATGGAATAAAATACAGGAAGTTCAAAGTTTAGCGAAGAAGGCAGCAGAAACTGTTGTGTCAGTTGTTGACGAGGAAGGCATGGACTCTTTGTTGTCAGAATTACTGAAAGGAGTTGGGGATAGTCAGGCATGATCTTTCTTTGTTTTCTTGTTATTTTTAAAACTCGTTTATTGCTATTCTTTTCTCTAATGCTGCTGTATGCTTGTAATTCCAGGCTTCGATTAGACGAAGTTCAGCGTATCTTATTGGATATCTGTTCAAAAATTGCGACTTCTATATTGGTGATGAAGCTCCAAACATGATATCCACCCTGATTATTTTGCTTAGTGATCCGGATTCTGATACAGTGGTGGTAATGTCAGGATCACTGCATTTCTTTTGTATGTTAATTTGTGTGGGTTATCTGACCACTTATTGACAGGTTGCATGGCAAGCTCTGTCTAGTGTTGTGAGTTCAGTTCCTAAAGAAGTTCTTCCAACATACATCAAGTTGGTTCGTGATGCTGTATCTACTTCAAGAGACAAGGAACGTAGGAAGAAAAAGGTTGCAATTTTCTATTTCAGACAGCTGTTATTTTATGTTTTAAAAGCATGGTTGTCACAATGTTTTCTGTTGTTTCATGAGTCTGTTGAGATTTTAACGTTCTTCTTAATGAACATGTAGGGAGGACCAGTTCTTATACCTGGATTTTGCCTTCCCAAAGCTCTTCAGCCATTGCTTCCTATTTTTCTCCAGGTATTCCAGGTTATTATTATACCTTATACCTGGTTGTTGTTGTTGTTATACCTTATTTTTTTTAAAGGTACTCTGGCTTATTTCTTTGTAAATTCACGGTAGATATTGTTTCTCTTTTTGGTGGGTGTTTTTGGGGGTGCTGGTGTTAAGTTGTATATGTTTAGAGGAAAATTCTTCTGAGAGTACATCAGAGTATCAGTCTTCAAGTTTAACACATTTATATTTTTGTGTATGCTGTGGCAGGAGGTACATGGGGATTTACTGCATTTCAGAGTTGATTATACAAATATCCATTGTAATCCTAGGAAAGAGAAAATGGTACATAGTGAAAATAAAGGAAATTTGTAAAAAGGTGTTAACATGAGGATACCAAAGAAAGAAACAGAGAGAAAGACTGAATTGGAGAGTAACCTAAGCTTCTGTTCCTTCAATACTATTTTTCTTAGTTCCTTCTTCTCCAAAACAACGCTCCCTAGATTTCCTCATTATTTTTTATTGCTACATTTCATCATAATGGTAAAATTGAAACATTATCCTAGCCGACTGGCGCGAGGCATCAAAACCTTAGTCTAGGCACCAAACTTATTTCTTAATCGATGCGAGGCATCATTTTAATTCTGCTCCATTGCTTAATACTGGTAATTATAGATTGTATTGACCTCCTAATAGTCCTATGTGGTATTTTATTTATTGCACTGCTCCTTGGATTTTCTGTTACCCAGTGTGATTTTCTTTTTGATCTGCAGGGTCTCATTAGTGGATCAGCAGAATTAAGGGAGCAAGCAGCTTTGGGTCTTGGGGAGTTAATCGAAGTGACAAGTGAGAAAACACTAAAGGAGTTTGTGATTCCTATCACAGGGTATGCACCATGTGTATTAATTCAATGTTTGTACCAGCATGAAGAAGATTCATATAGGCAGATATCAAGAGGATTATGTTTTTTACTTTCTAGATTTAGTATTTTCATTTACTCTAAAGTCAATCAGCGTACGCTGAAATTGTCGTACTATGCTTTCAATTGCAGGCCCTTGATTCGTATTATAGGTGACAGATTTCCTTGGCAAGTAAAGAGCGCAATTCTATCAACTCTGAGCATCATAATACGAAGGGGAGGAATAGCCCTAAAGCCTTTTCTTCCCCAGCTTCAAACAACATTTGTCAAGTGTCTACAGGATAACACGAGGTTGGTTCTGTAGTGGTGTACCCTTTTTGGCTGTTAGAAGGGGAAATGATGTGTTGTGAAACTGATGCCCTTCTGATCTGTTTTCTCTGTCTGCTTTATGACATCTATTGCTTCTTGAAGCGATAACTTCAGTTCTTTGTGATCTTTATTCCTTTAACTTATACAAGTTCTATTATAGGACAATACGATCTAGTGCAGCTCTTGCGCTTGGGAAGCTTAGTGCTCTCAGTACCAGGGTTGATCCTTTAGTTGGTGATCTGTTATCTGGTGTGCAGGTGATAGTTGTACTTTATTCTACTTCTCTATTGTCGCAATTCGCCTCTTTTTAAGAAGCAGAGTTATTCTATTGAGTTATGGTTCAACAGACATCAGATGTTGGAATTCGTGAGGCTACTCTGACTGCTTTGAAAGGTGTGATTAAGCATGCTGGTGGAAGTGTCAGCATTGCTTCTAGAACACGCGTGTACACCCTCCTGAAGGATTTAATACACAACGATGATGATCAGATAAGAAGTTCTGCTGCAAGCATATTTGGAATTATTTCGCAGGTTAGGGTCATTCTACCCAGGAAACATTTCTTTTCCTTTATATCAAGATTTTATGTCCTGTATTTAGCATGTTTTTAATCATCACTGAGGTGCTGGTAAAGGTTATTTGGTGATTTATTTGATGTGGGGTTTTGTTCAGAACAAAGCAGGGTGTAGATCATAGCAGATTGCCTCCTTTTTTGTTCCAAAGCAGGCTGCTTCATTTTGAAGTGGTGTCTTGCATATTATTATGTTCCTCTGGGGGATAATGCTCAATCTATTGCTTTTCTACCCTGTAATTCAGATGTTTTAGTAGAGGAACTCTTGTCTAATTGGTTGGGGTGCATCACCCTCTCAAGTTTCTCTCTAGTATTCTTTATTTCAGAATTCTTTTTCATTGGTCATACAAGATTGGACAAGATTAGAAATGACCACGTCAAGCAAAGATTGCAAGTACTAATTGAGGATAAAATGAGAAAATATTTTGAGATTTTTTTCCAGATAAAGTTGTGTTTGTATATCGGAATTGATCTGAATCAATGGGTTTCTTTCATAACATCACCTTAGCTGAGCTAACTTTTAGTGGATCTGTTTGTCTTCTTTTTCTGCCGACCTTTATTAGTACTCCCTCCTTTTCACTTTATGTGACACTTTTTAGTCCGATTCAAAAAGAATTGACACATTTCTATATTTAGAAACAATTTAACTTTAAACTTTCCCTTTTACCCATTTTGCCCTTAATGAGAAGCTTTTATAGCCACACAAATTGAAGGCTCCACAAAAGCTTTTATCTTTTAAGCTTTTAAGGTGACAAGTTTCAAAACTCTTCCATTTTCTCTTAAACTCCGCGCCGGATCAAACTACGTCACATAAATTGAAACGGTGGGAGTAAAATTTAAATAATGACAAATGAGGGAAAAAGTGATTGTGGATTGCTGCGGGAAAACATAAAGCACCAATACTGTGGATGATAATGTTTCATGGGTTTCTTGAAAGAGAATCTGAATTTACAGCTTTATATACGACAAACTGATTGTGAAAATCATTAACCAAATTTTTTTATGGACGGCTTGATTTTCTTATTAGATTGATTTTGAGGCAGTCTCATGGACCTAAAACTGTATTATTGAGATTTATTGTGATTTATCCTGCATTTTATTATTCTACAGTACCTAGAAGACGGACAAGTTGTTGAAGTACTTGATGAGCTGTCAAAATCAGCTTCATCATCTAACTGGTGCTCAAGGCATGGGGCAGTACTTACCATTTGTTCAATGCTTAAGCACAATCCTGACATAATTTGTGCTTCTTCATCATTCACATTGATTGTGAACTGCCTCAAAAGCACCTTAAATGATGAAAAGGTACGTCTGACATAAGTTATTTTACTTTATGTAATTTGTTTTGGACAAAACTGCATTCTGATTGTTGTAGAAACTTAAAAATGTTGTTTCATATATATATGTTTTATCCAATTGTGGAAACAAAACGAATTCCACTTTTCATTGCATTTTCTCCATAGTTTATATTGCCTTTTCTGAAGGGAAGGTGTTTGAACTGGAAATCTATGAACCTGTGCTTTTTTCTATTAAGTAAATCAATAAATCAGTGCTATACACTAACAGAAACATTTAGATGCCTTTTTATTTTTATTTTTTTTATCTGAAGTATCTCTTTCCCATTGAGATACTTCTCTACTCTTCCATTTTCTGTACGGAAAACATCCACGAGAGGATTCAGATTTTCATGTTCTTATTTTCTTTTGGTAATTAAAATTTCATTTACCAGGGGAAAATGTAGGTACAGACAAAACAGAAAAACCATAAGTTGGACAGGACCCCGACTTATAACAGCAAGAAACAAAAAGAAAAAACTAATCACCTAAATTCCCAGTTCTCCCCTCTCAACTGTGCTACTTAGATTTCTAAGGATAGAAATGTAAAGTTCTAAGCTGACCAGCAATTCTAGTGTAAATTGCAGATGAAAGCAATAGAACTGGAAAAGCTTGGTTAGTATAGTTTTTCAGAAAGAGCAAAAGTTAATTTATTTGGAAATCTGATGGTTTTCTTTGTGGTTGCTTCTTTATTTGTTAGTTTCCTGTTCGTGAAACATCAACGAGAGCGTTAGGATTGCTTCTACGTCAACAAATCCAGAGTGATCCGTCAAATTCTACTTCACATGTGGAAACTCTGGGATCCATAGTGTTGGCCATGCAGGATGATTCAAGTGAAGTCCGAAGACGGGCTTTATCTGCATTGAAGGCAGTTTCGAAAGTTCGTGCTTCTGTAATAACTGACATACTTCATTCATATATTCTTAAGTAGGCTCAACCTTAATTTTTTTGAAGTAAACATTGAGGTTTCCGCATTACAGGCTAATCCTGGTGCCATTGCCATCCATGTTTCAAAATTTGGCCCTGTTCTGGCTGACTGCTTGAAGGATGGAAATACACCTGTGAGACTTGCTGCAGAGAGATGCGCACTGCATGCCTTTCAGTTGGCAAAGGGTATTACCTCTGTATTTTCTGTTCTGTTACATCTCAAATTGAGATGACTGTAGTCCTTTTCTGATTTTAATATGAATCTCTCTTCATACCTGTTCTTGGTCATATATTTTGGTGGAATGCTTGTTAAGCTGTTTCTGGTACTTGCTAATCCTTTTTACATAGATTTTAAGTAATGTATACCGTCAGTGTACGAAATTTTTACATTAATAGGTCACCTTTACGTGTTGTAGCAAATCCTATATTTTAAGGAGGCTTACCTGTAGTATGTAGATATTCTTTGGGTGACTTGATAGTGTAAAAAAATCTTTACACTGACAATGTACAAAACTTTAATTCTTTTACATGTGTTTGGCATTTTCGTTGTAACGCTTAAGCGCCTTTCGTGATTCAAGTAGTAAGCTCGAGCGAATGAACATAAGTCAAACCGAATATGAGGAGGCCAACTCCAAGTTCCTTCTCTTCTTTCTTTTTTCAAAGAAATCTGCTGCTTCAAGTGCTTGCTAATCCTTTTCAATTTAATAGTTCTCTGGAGCTGCCATGGTAAGCGTCTCAACGTTCCTTTCTTGGTGTTTGCAGGTACAGAAAATGTTCAAGCTGCGCAGAAGTTTATGACAGGCTTGGATGCTAGACGAATAGCAAAGCTCCCTGAACACAGGTGAAGTGTTTTTAATTACTCCAGATCTGTAGCCTACTGTTTGCAGATTGTTGCTTTGGAGATGCTATTCTGAATTTATCTGTTGCATTATGGTTTAATGTCTTACCATTGCAAGTACAACATCTCTGTATTATTGAGATTCATTGTGATTTATCCTGCATAAATCTCAATAATGCAGCTATTAACTGATTTATCCATTTTATTAAGTGTTGTGCTATGCTGGCCTCTCTTTCTCTCTTCAAATCCCACAGTTCAGAAGAGAGGATTTGTTTAAATAATCCTCCAGGAATGTCACTCTGGTCATATAAAGTAATGTTTCTTAAATATTATTCTGCATCTTCGAAGATTGAATCTAGAGAATCTTTATATGAAAAAGATTAAATCAAGCTCGTATTTGACTAACAAATAACAACAGTAAGTTTGAAACCCTTTTTCTTTTTGTGAGAAATTTCCAAATTCCAATGCATATACTAACATGTTTTTATTTACATGTAAAAGGTGAGTTAGTCTGTTCATTTTATGTTATTGAAACAGCTCGTTAGTCTGATAATAAAAGCATCGAGGAAGCTGAATGAATTTTTGTTCTTTTAACCCCCTTTCCCCCTGTGAGGGCTCTTTTTGTTCTATTCTGATGATGTCTAGGAGAGAAAAAATGGTAAGCTGTAAAGTTAGGCCAAATACATAAGCAGGCACCTAAACTTGGCACCATTTTTCACTTAGATACTTAAACTTAGGCCTGTTCCTATTAGACACTCGAATTACTTCTGAAGTGTCTATTTAACAGACAGCTGACATGTCATATTGTGTGAACAATACTTCTCTTGAGCGTGTGAAGAGCCAAAGAATATTTTAGTTAAATAGTTTTAATTAATTTTTTATTTTTTAGCTATTCTTCATCAAAAATCCACCACGGCCACTCCTTAAAATCTCCAATTCCATTCTTTACAGAAGATCCAAGGGAACAATTGCAAAGAATCACTTTTTAAAAATTTCCTTTGCTTACTCTCAAATTTTCTTGGTCGTAGCGCTGTCAAAGCTCTCATTGTCATTGATAGAAATGAAATCGTCGGCAAGATTTTCCCATCAAACTCGGTGGTTATCTGATTTGATTTTTGAAGGAGGATGTAATTTTTAAGGTGTTTCTGAAATGAGGAAATAAGAATGGAAGGAGAGAGATTGTCGGAGGTTGTAGTACAAGATCGTCGGAGAATAAATTTTCAGCCAAGATCGAGGTTTTCCGGCGGTTGCTGTTAGTCGGACTTTTTTTTTTGCTGCTCGCTCACTACTGCTGGTTCTTCTCTGGTTGTAAAAGCATTTTATAGCGGGTTTTTAAATTTGTCTATTGAAATCAATATGTGAAGGAAGTGCTAAGGTTCTAACTGGTTGAAGATTTTTGTTTCTGGTGGGTATGTGAAATGGTGGTGGTGTTGGTGATTCTCTATGGGGTTTTTGGTGGTCTGACAACAATGGTGGAGGAAGAATAATTGGGATGCAACTGGGTTTTGTTCCCGAGGGGGGAGGGGGAATTTTAATGAAAATATTTTTTTTCTCAAAACAAATTTTAATAGTGATTTAGGGTCAAAATAACACGTCTTCATTTTATTCGTTGATTTGCCATGTCATCCGCGAGTGGATTACACTCACTTTGTTTTTCCTCGTGATGGTCAATGAGGTGTTCAATAGACACATTGAATATACTTGAAGTGTCTAATAGGAACAAGCCCAACTTTAAGCGGTGCCAAGTTTCGGTGCCTGCTTATGTATTTGGCCAAGAATTTATCAAAGATTTTTAGCTCATCAGGACAACCTGAGAGCATTTAGTATAGTTTTAGATTTTGGAAAATCTTTCTGCTGAAGTCCTGTGCAAGAATTGCTTGCCTGTCAATGTTCTTAGAATTTTATTTATGTTCGTTTAAAAGGTGCTTCTAGGATACCCTGTTTTTGCAAGTTCTTCTAGGTTACCTTTAAACATCTAAAATGATTTCTCAGAAGCTCTCACAATCACTCCATCGGTATATTATTTACTTATGTTTCATGTAGTGTTTCCTGGACTGTAAGGAAATAATATTTGACATAGCTCGCATCTTGTGGTACAAGAGACAATGATTAGACTTTCGTTGGTTTAAGGTAATGTATTTTCCAGTGGATCTCTCCTGGATTTGATGTCCGCTCTCCTCTGGATTGCAATTAGTGTTAACTATTTGGGGCGGTATAAGGTTCCTATCTCAACCCTCACAGACCAATCTATAGATTTTCCTTTGCTTCTAATCNTCAACAATCCAGCAACAGTAACAACCCAGGAACAGAATTTGCAAACCGGTGGAGTATTAATCCCAAAAACAAATAAAAAAAAACTTCAAGCTTTGATGACACAACAATTAATTCTGATTTCAAACAATGAAAGAAAGCAGAAGATTTTTTTTTTAGTTTTTTTAATTTTGAAAGTTTAAATATTTTTCGGAATTTTCTCTCTCTTAAATGTTCAGCCCCTTTTTTTTCTCTCTTATTCTCTTTCTGTCAGATTTTTCCTCTCTATCTGTATTTTTTTTCGTCTGTCCCCCTTCTATCTGATTTCAAGACTTCTCTTTTATAACTCATCCCATAAACCTTTCAATTAATTAAAATCCATACTTTTTCTCTACCCAACCCATTATCTTTCCACTCATCCCCATTACATCAAATAAACATATCACACCACCCCATTTCATTTTGTCCCCCATGCTTCATTTAAANTCAGTGAGGCAAAGAAGTTAGAAGCGGAAATTTTGCTTGAGATTTGATATTTACAGCAACCATCACATACATATATAGATGCGTAAGCAAATAAGGATGAGTTTCATATTTGCCAAATTTTGACACCGAGTGGATTGTTGCTTTTCCCGTTACCTTTTGTAGTTGTGTATTATTGAAATTGAATAGCCCTTGAGGAAAGGAAGGGAGCTTGCGTTCATGTATAAATTTTGTAAATTTTCTACAGATATAGGAAATCACCGTTATTATTTCCACCAAGGTGCTCTCCATTTTTCCTTTCAGTGGCGCAACCTTTGTGCTACTAATTTATCCACTCTGATTACTAGTATAGACTAGAGAAGCAAAGACTAATAGGGAAAGTATATTAAGAAAGGTGGACAGGGTTCCTTTCATTGAGATTCAATTCAGGTATAAACTTTATTGTTACCTCTAATTTCTGGAGAGGACGTGTCATTACAGTGCAGATATCACTTTCAGAAAAACTGTTTTTCTGCTTGTTATTCACGTATGAAGAAATATAAGACTTTTGTTCAAGAATGGTAGGATAAAGATTTCCTCAAATGAATTCATTCCTCAGCATTTATCTTTCATCCGTGTTAGCACTTAACATTCGCTTGAAAGTTCACATTCCCTTTCCCCCCCAAAAAGCAGCTATGATGTTTTTTTTTTTTGATAAGGAAAAGGCAGCTATGATGTTAAACTGTTAAATATATGAAATTACATCTGTGTGCTGGCGAACATAATCTTTGTTAAATGGTTTTCTGTTATCGTTGCGAAGTTGGTTTTTCTGTCGTGCTTTCAGTTTGATTTTCTACTTACTGTCGTGCTTTCAGTTTGAAAATAAAGGTCACGGAAGTATATCGCTAATCGTAATAAGGAGTGAAACTTCTTCATTTTTTGTTTGTATTACCCTTTCTCATAGGCCTTGCTCTTAGATAAAGCAGTGTTCAAGAATAGTTGTTCCTAATGACTAAGAACTGATTTAATTGCAAGGTTAAATTCGGATTTGGAGTTAAATTTACTCCTTCCGTTAAATTTTATTTCTTCTAGTTTAATTAAGCACAACGTTTAAATATAAAGAAGATATTTGAATCTTGTGGTCTTAAAATAAAAATGTGTTTAACATCAAAATAATCTTTCAATATTGTAATCTTAAAACACTAATGATTACTTTGTGCAATTTGGCAATGAATTTGTAGCTCGATGACATCCCTTGTTAGAAACATCGGTGACACTAATGTAAATGGTGATCATGCAAAAACAAAGACACTGCACCTTTTTAGTTTTCACTCAAAGTATTTGGTTTCGTGTCTACTGGATGGAATGAAGATGGCCTTTTCAAATATTGATAAAAATCCCTTTTGATTGGTAGAAAAATACATCAGGCAAACTTAAAATTGGTGTTTTTCAAATTGCTGCAGGATACTACTTGCCCACTGGACAGTAAAAGGTAAGTGTTACCATTCAAATACATAAAAGGTAAAAAAAATGATATATTTATATTACGATTGCGGCACTCTTCTAGCAATTGCAGAGACAGACCTAATAAATGCTTCGTTTTTATGGTATTAGCTTTGCTATTGCCGAGTACAAACTCCCTTAAACTCGCGATCGTGGCACTACCTCGCTATTGCGAAGAGGTCAAATATTTAAATTTCGCATTCGCGACAGTTAGCTCTGTGATCATTCTCATTTCTCCCGTCCCACAACACATTGCGGTTACAAAAAAATAGCAATTGTGATTTTGGTTCCTACATGTCTGAAATCCCCGAGCCAACAGTTATACAAACTTATACATAAGCTCAAAACATAGTTTAACAATAGGTTCATTTGAAATCAATCCCAAAAGAAAAAGTTATTCGTTTACTTATTTTTGGCATAGGCTATTCGATATAGCTGTCATGCCATCAAAATGGGGTGAGACGTGATAGGTATTCAACTGTTATTACACGTTGAGCGAACCTTTTACTAACTAATACAAGGTCCAAGCTGTTCTCAATAATTATAATAATATTAACAAAGTCTTTACTAAATTTTTGGCAAGTAAACTAAACGAGGAATTTGATTTTAAAACGCCTATAAACTAACATATTGCCAAGTCGTAAGCCTCTACTTGAAATTTGAGTACGTGAGGCTTTGGGGCATTCCCCAGGGATAAACAAAAATATCTAAAACAAATTAAAGACTGATGAATATTGCTACCACTAGAACGAATCAACTGAGCTTGCACTTTTGAGTCTAGGAAACTGCCTCTATCCACTATTTCGTTACCTAAACACTCAACGCCTGTCA